CAGTCAGACCTGAATGGCTGACTGCCCTGGACTACAGTGTCCTCCTCCCTTTAAAATCCTACTCTTTCTTCAACCTGGCTCGAATCTCCCCTTATCCTTAAATCCCTTTTGCTCCTGGAATGCTTATAGATCAACATACCCCTGAACTTTTGTTTGTCTGTTTGTTTGTTTTTCATTTATTTTTTAAAAAACATATTTTTTTTATTTCAGAGAGGAAAGGAGAGGGAGAACGAGATAGAAACATCAATGATGAGAGAGAATCATTGATCAGCTACCTTCAGCATGCCCCCCTACTGGGGATCGAGCCCGCAATTGCCCGCAACCAGGGCAAGTGCCCTTGACAGGAAATGAACCTGGGACCCTTCAGTCCACAGGCTGATGCTCTATTCACTGAGCCAAACCGACTAGGGCTTCGCTGGACTACTGTTGAAACCGGAGTTAGCCCTATCAGTCCTGGGCTGCTGACTAGCATCCCTTCCTCACTTCAGCCTCATGGGGAGCCCTAGATGCTCAAAGACTTATCAGCCTTTATTGTTGAAGAGGTCTCATAGTCATCCCAAATTTATCCATTCAATCCTCACCACATCCATGTAAGGTAGGTGTTACCATCCCCATTTTATAGGTAAGGAGACAAAGGGTCAGGGAGGTGAAGCAATTTACCCAAGGTCACAGAGCTAGGAAGCAGTAGAATTGGAATTCACATCCCCTTCTGTCTCCTCTCAAAGTCTGTGTTTTTAACCAGTACTCTCTGTGAGTCTCAGCCCTCACCAGACTGTCAGATCAATGGTTTCAGACTCCCAGTTATGGAGTCTGGAATTGATACTAACACAGCCTGGGTTTGGTGTGCACTCATGTACCCACCAAATTTCAGCCTTGCCTCTAGCCCGCCATACTTGCCTTTTACAAGATTGGAACTTAACTTTGTGCTTTGCACTTTAGTTACTCTGCCAGACAGAGAGCCAACCCTGAATCCTCGATCCCTTGACCTTCTCCTGCCAATCTCCTCTTCTCTATCATGGTCCTCCCAAATAAACCCTTGAAGTTGGACCTGACCTTTTATTCTTCTGCTCAGAAATCTTCAGTTGCTCCTTTTTAAAAACTGCACCATTTGCTCCACTTTCTAGGCTTTTATAACCTGATTTCAAGTTATTAGCCACTCAGTTCCCTTTGCTTCCTCACACTCCCTCTCCCCTATCCCATGCAGACCTGTGCCTCTCAATCATAGCTTCTCCTTCCTGCTTGGGTCCTTGCCTGCCTGGAGACTGCTGCTGCTAACCCCCAATCCTGACATCTATTTTCCCTGTTAGGTCAGGGTGCTAAGGCTCTAACTTAGAAGCTCCATCTGGGCTCAGATTAAGGAGAGCTTGTCAATAGCTGTGGAATGTAAGAAGGAATCCCAAGGAAAGAATCTATGGATGAAGGCAAGGAGAGGAACCAACAACCAGGCCAAAGAAGTATTCATCCAAAGGAGCCTGGCAGAAAGGAGACAGCAGCGGGAGGAAGGCTGTAATTGGAGCTTAAATTGAGAGAAAGTAGGAGCCAAAGGGAGGATGGAGGTGAAAGCAGCAATGACTTCCCAAGGACTTGAATGTGGAGACAGAACTTCTTCTTATAGGGCCTGTGAGTATAGGGAGGACTGGTAAGGTCACTAAACTGGTTCAGACACCCAGCTCTGTCTAGGCCCTCGGGCACTATCAGGATTGTTGGTTACTCTGACCACAATCCAGCACAATCCCAGCCTCCTTCCTCACTCCACCCTCACTCATTCATTCACTTAATTAACTAACAAATATTTGAGGCTCCACTAGAATATAAACTCCATGCAGGCAGAAACACTATCTTTTCCCTAATTTTAAGGCCTAAAACCCAGAATAATTTCTGGTACATAGTAAGCACTAGCTATATATTAGTTGAATGCATGAATCATTGATGAATGTTTGAAAATGTGTTGAGTTCTAAAGTATCTTCTGAGTTGTGACAATAACCTTAGAGTACCAAACACATGTTGCCTGCTGAAGAGAAAAGTAAAAATATACTTTAATTAGTCAGGTGTTAGAATATCTGAAATGAAATGATTTATTTTTCCTTTCTTTTTTAAATTTCAAAACTAATTTGTGGCCAACATTATCCATAACCCTAAGCATTTGCCACTGGTTTCAAAAGAATTTACAACAAAGAATGCCTGACAATTGCCAAAATTATACGGTCAACATTGCAGGTAAAAAAATGATGGAGTTGGACCACAAAATTTTCTAGACTTGAGTGGAGTCCCAAAAGGAAAATATTCATGCAAAGCTTTGATATTTTACTTTGGATTGCTCCTTAGAGCACTAGATCAAATAGCACTCAAACGTTTTCAAGATGCACGGAAAGTCCACACACCCCAAATCATCTGTGCATTGACTACAGGATGCTGTGGTTAGTCTGGCTGAAGCTCCATCAGCCACCTTCACGTTCAGAGTAAACAAATAACTATTCTGGCCCTTGCAGAGAAACCCTGGCAAACCCTGAGGGGGCTGTAACTTTGACTTAAAGGAAACCACAAGCCAGCAAACTGCTGACCATAAACATGTTTACATTTTGTCTGACTGGGGGGTGCAAAAGGAGTTTGAGTGACTTAGAGAGCTGTTGCCCATGGTGTAGTTAATGCAACCGAGAGTGTGTGGGGAAAGCGGACGGGGGGAAATGTGATCAGAGGATCCAGCCACAAGCAGCCAGAGGCTCAGAAGGTCCAAGACAAACTTGGGCTTAGATGGTGCAGTATTATACCATCTGTTGGGTACGTGAGGGGAGGGAAAGACCCCTAAACAAGTAACAGGTGTCACTCAAAGTGACTAGGGTTAGAGAAGATTGCCTCAAGTCTGCTTTATGATCACCAAGAGTGTCAGTCTGAATATGGGGAATGATTCACAGAATCCTGCTAAAGATTTCTCACTAAAAGTCTTACCGAATGTCTTGGGGTAGAATGGATTGCACTGAGTAACAAACAGCAAAAACATTACAAGTGTCAGTGTGAACTGGCAATGATACATTTCAATTCCTAACTCCTGCTTAATTCTGCCAATCTAACAAACTAATTTATTTTTTTTCTTTTTAAAAAATGTAAAGTAGTCGAGGCAGTAGCAAATATTCCCCTACCCTTTGCTGGGTAATTAACTGGGCATAAATGAGCCAATAGGAAGGCAGCTCCTTGCTTACTAGAGAAGCATGCCCTGCTAAGAGGGGCAAGGTGAGGAGGACCACACCCCAGGGCTCCTGTGGTCTATGTGCAGACGACTCCCCCAGGCTCCATCCCACTCTTTCTGCTCTCCCAGCGCCTTGGCAGAGACTGGCTTTGGGACAAGTCACATCATGAGCTCCACTCGCTACTACATCCATCCCCAGGGAAGGGATGCCTGGACCATTAGGTACACTGTCCCAGGTTAAGAGGTCAGAGAATGCAGTTTGTATAAGTTAGAGCCACTTTCTTCTTTGTTCATGATGCCTATTACATAGCTTATTTGCTTTTTAAAGTGCTTGATGCTGAGTGTGAAATGCCAAAGGACCATGGAAGTGAATTGTCGAGGAAAGGGAATATTCCACTGGCTGGTTCCTAGGAGCTATTTTGCAATATGGAGCAGTGCTCTGTGTTCCCAGATAATTAGATTCTCCATAGCTAGTCTGGGGGGTGGGTCTGGGGAATGGGTGTGGGAGGGTGGAGTTGGGGGGTGGTGTGAGCTGGGTGCATGATTTCCAGCATATCATCTGGGATTGGGAGCAGGGCTCAAAGTCTGACACTAAAATGTTAGGCAAGGAAACTGGGAAACACAGGAAGATGAAGCAAAAGGTTTCTGGGATATCCTAGAAAGCAGGAAGACTTAGAACCAGAGATGAGAACTAGAATCCAGGCTATCATTTCCCATCCGTGTAACCTTTGACAAGTGTCATAACTTCTCTAAGGCTCTGTTTCCTCAGGTAGAAAGTGAGGATAGTAATAATCTCATACAGATGTTGTGAGAATTAAGCACATACACTGAGTGGCCAGATTATTATGACCACCTGACGTTTGTAGGCAAATTAGCTATAATTTCGCGCTGAAGTTGCTAGAGGGCCAGACCATGATAAACGTCTGAATAGCACAACATACCTAAGTATCGTTGCTGATCAAGTTCATCCTATCATGTTGATGGCGTATCCCAATGGAGATGGCTTCTTCCAACAAGACAATGCGCCATGCCACGGTGCTCGTATTGTGCAGGAGTGCTTTCAAGAACATGAGGGAGACTTTACCTTGCTTAGGTGGCCTCCACAATCACCAGATCTCAATCCAATTGAGCATTTGTGGGATGAAGTTAAAAGAGCCATCAGGCAGCTGGTTCCACAACCATCAAATCTCACAGAACTGGACAGTGCTATTCATCAGGCATGGTGTCAGATTCCTCGCATCACCTTTCAACATCTTGTGGAGTCAATGCCAAGAAGAATCGCCGCAGTATTGAAGGCAAAAGGTGGCCCAACGAAGTACTGATGGGGTGGTCATAATAATCTGGCCTCTCAGTGTATATAAAGCACATAAGATCAAAATAAACACTTTTATTCTACTAGAATGTAAGTTCCTTCAAAGCAAAGAATGGACCTTAGAAACACAGCAATGGCCACATAGAAAATTGTTTAACGAATAAAAAACAAACAAACACAACCAACTTATTCCAGACCTATCCCCAGGTGAGGATGAGCTTGCTAGTCTATACATTCTCATTCTTACTCCTCAAAGTGAAGTTCATGAGCTATTCACATCACTTGGAAACACAGATATCTGATCCCACCTCAGACCTAATGAATCAGAATATCCATGTTGGCCTGATCCCCAGGGGGGTTGTTTGCCCATTGAACTGGGAGACGCACTGCTCACTCAAGGTTGACTGAAGGATGGCATCTCATGGCTCCAGCTGAGAGGGGCTGAGGAAGGCAGGAGCTGGCAGGCAGGGTCCAAACTGATTCCTTAAACTGTGACCGGAAGGGCTGAGGAAGGGCTCCTGTGGACTATGTGCAGACGTCAGGCAGGCAGGGTCCAAACTGATTCCTTAAACTGTGACCACTGTGTGCCGAGGCTTGGGCAGATGGCCAGGACGCAGAACCTCATCGGGCCAGACAGGGGCAGTCTGCAGATGGAGAGGGTGTGTGAGCAAAGGCTGAGCTTCAGAGCCCCAGCCTGCGCTCCAAGGCAACGCCCAGAGGTCCAGGAGGCCAGAAGTCAAGCCCAGGGAACCCAGGTGAGAGAGAAGCTAAAACAGGTTATGCTGGTCTAGAGGGCCAGAGTCTAGGGAACTAGGAGGCTGGGAGAAATAGAAAGCAGACGATTCTACCAGTACTTACTGAGCTGCTTATGGGTAAGACAGAGAGTGAGTGCTTATTTTAGGAGAAGGTGCTCCTTGCCCTGGTCTCACCCCCTTCAGCAGGTAGGTGGGTGTGTCTTTAGAGCTGTGTCTGTGGTCAGAGGGGAGCTCAGCATCACTATGCACTTGCTCCTTCTGAAGGCAGGTGTGAGGCTTACTGGAAGGTCCCTCTGTCCTGCTGACACAAAGAGACAACTGTCAAAGGTAGAGAAATGAACATTTCAGGGACTATGTTTGAAAGTTCTTTGAACAAAGGGACAGGATGTCCCAGGATCCTTTGCTCCCACCATAACACTGTGTGTGTTCAGAGACCAATGGGCTGCTCTCCGGGAGACAATGAGCTGATCCCCCAGTAACCCGGACAGCACTGTCTCAGGGGAGCAGCGCAGAATCCTACTATCTGAGGATGTCAGAGAAGGAGGGGACCTGGTGCCTTCAATCTTTTTTTTTTATCCATGGAGCCTTGTCTTCCAACCCTATCTTACTCAGATCCCCAACATTTGCCATGGATATTAGAAAGCTATTCTTACTGAAGCAGAAGTTGGAGCCCTGAGGCATTCTTTTCCACCCCTACTCCCCAACACCCCCTGAGTCCCCTTGGAGGAACCCCCTGGTTCCATGGGCCAGTTTGAGAGGCACTGCTGGGCACCAGTCCTATTATTATACAAATGAGAGACAGGAGCCCATACAGAAAGGTCTCCCATGACCTGGCATTGGCTCACCTCACTACCCACGTGACTCCCTGTACTTTGGTCATGTGGACTTTTTTCATGCCATGCCTCGGAACATGCCATGCCCTCCCTCTCTGCTGGGCCTTTCTATGTGCTATTCTTTCTACCTGAAATGCTCCCTGCTCCCTTCCATACCTCCCCACCCCACTCCTGCCTGTCTGACTCCTACGTAACCTGTGGATCTCAGCAGAGGCCTGTCTGTTCTATTCACCATCCCAGCAGTGTCTGGTCAATGGTAAGTGCTGTGTCTCTCTTTTCTGAATGAGTGAATGAGCACCTTACAGGAGCCTCGCTCCAGGATTGCCTACCAGCTCTGAGTTTAGGAATGGGGACAGCCTTTCCACCCAGATATGGGGTGGTCCTGGGCAAAACCTTGTCCAACCTGTGTCAATTCCTTCCCAGAGAGCTCTGATTGGTACACAACAGTGTTAGGTTGAAGATCCAGGTAATGGGCAACATGTGTTTAGGAAATGGGAAGTGAGCAAAATGTGTTTAGAAAATGTTGGTAGGTTCAGGTGACAGCTGCCTTCAAAGGGGCCACAGACAGTTATTGGGAGATATGTGTTTCCTATGAGGACAATTTCCAGATATCACCCTGACCTCTGCCACCATGAGAGTCTTAAATCTGACTGTCTTCTAACACCAGGAACCATATTTGACCTTCCTAGTAGATAATCTTCCCAAAGTTCCACAAGGAATTATTCACGACTTCTCTAATGCCAAAATATGGCCATAAAAATAGTGTTTGGTGTTTTTCAGGCTTCTCTGTAGTGGATGAGTGAATGTCTCCAAGAACACCCATCTGACAGAGGGGGAAAAAGCTAAGAAAATATGAATTAATGTTGCACTAAAATTTTCCTGAGCATGTGCAGCTACAAATACTAAACCAACATGTTCCAACATTGTTTCTCCCCATTAGTATGTGGACAGCAAGGTGTTAGGAAGAACTAATGATCTCTTTAGAAAGTGTCACCCCAAACATTACTTGTACAAGCTTTGTAGAATGACTCAACAGGTTAACTCAAGTCTCTGCTTAAGCATCCTTTTATTTAAAGTGACCCTTCCTGGAAAACAGGTTTTTAATTAAAAAGGAAAATCATATTTGCATCCCTCGAAGATAAAGGAGATAAATATAGACTATTTAATTATCTGCATTCTCGGTCTGTTTCTGCTTATCTTTGGCACCAGTTACAAAGCAAACCTTCCTGAAAGGATAATTCCTCCCACAATAATCCTTTCCAATTACACAGGCCTTAGCAATTTATAAAGTTTGTTCACATGTATGATTTCATTTCATCCCCTCCACAGCCCTGTGAGGCAGGTATAACAAGAATTCGAGTTAACTTCATTTTGTAAATGAGATGCTGAGGCCATGGCTACATGACTTGCTCACGGTCATGCTGCTAGCTGGGACTCAGCCAGACCTTGAATCCAAGGTTTGTGATCCCACGTCTGTGTCAGAGTTACCGTCATCAGGTAAACTATGGTTAGGTCGGCCTGATGTCTTAGATCATATTGCAGAGGCACCTGGAAGGTTTTCCAGTGCAGTGGTTGTCAAACTATGCTTCTTAGAACCCTAAGGCTCCATCATGGTGCTTAGGAAGCCATCACGGGGAAGGTGAGAAGACAGGTACTGGGCTCCTATCCCAGCCAAGGAGCTCTGTTTCTATGTCTCATCTACTGGTGTTTCAAGTAAAAAATTTTTTGAAGAAAGTAGTCCACTGTTTCAAAAAAAAAGTTTGAAACTCTAATAAACTAGTTCAAACTTCTTATTTTACAGATTGGAAAAGACCCATAAAGATCCTATAATTCGTCCAAGTTCACATCCAAGTAAGAGCAGAAACCTGACGGGTCTCTCCATGCCCAGTTAAGCCTCTCAGTACCGTGTTGTGTCTATATCCACATTCTCAAACGTTAGCATTTTTTGAAGAAAGCAGTCCACTGTTTCAAAAAAAAGTTTGAAACTCTAGTAAACTAGTTCGAACTTCTTATTTTACAGATTGGAAAAGACCCATAAAAATCCTATAATTTGTCCAAGTTCACATCCAAGTAAGAGCAGAAACCCGACAGGTCTCTCCATGCCCAGTTAAGCCTCTCATTACCGTGTTGTGTCTATATCCACATTCTCAAACGTTAGTGTGTAGCAGGGTCACCTGGAGGGCTTGTCACGGATCTCTAGGCCCTGCCTCCCAAGGCTCTGAGTCAATAGGGCTGGAGTGGGTCTGAGAAGCTTCCATGTGAGGCTGAGGCTACTGAACCACTTGTCCACAGGACACAAAACAACTGATAAGTCAACTGAACTGACCAACTAATTGTGCATTTTATCAATTTTATTTCATTCTGGGAAAATGGCTAAAGGAAATTCCTCCTTCAGAACTTCTAAACACATTGCCTAGGCACCTAGCACTGATATCCTATCACACCAAAGACCCTAAACCAGTGATGGCGAACCTTTTGAGCTCGGCGTGTCAGCATTTTGAAAAGCCCTAACTTAACTCTGGTGCCGTGTCACATATAGAAATTTTTTGATATTTGCAACCATAGTAAAACAAAGACTTATATTTTTGATATTTATTTTATATATTTAAATGCCATTTAACAAAGAAAAATCAACCAAAAAAATGAGTTCGCGTGTCACCTCTGACACGCGTGTCATAGGTTCGCCATCACTGCCCTAAACCCTCGTGTAGGAGGTGACAGTGATGCCCCAGCCCATGTCTCCTCATCCAACCGAGTTTATCTGCACCTGCAGTGGGCAGTCTCCACACACGCAGCCAGCTCATGATTCTTTGGTGTTTCTGTCTGAGGACTTTTTTTTTAACTAACAAGAGCTTGCTCAGCCCACAAGTGGTGTGTGTGTGTGTGTGTGTGTGTAATTAATGCCCCCACTTTCCAGGGCATCCTTTAAGCAATGAGGACATGAATCTGTGGATAGATATGCCAGTATCCCTATCCCTCAGTGGGATGTTTGAAACTTTCTCAAATGACTCCCCAGAGGGGCCCTCGTGAGACTGTGCCCCGCTTTCCCAGAGCAGCAACTCACTCATTAACGCCCCCTGTATTGGCATTTCTCCCTTTCTATCCACTTCCTCTCCTTCCTCATTTGTTTTTCCTGGGATCACTTCCTAAATAAACTATCTGCATCCCAAGTTCTCGTCTCAGGGTCTGCTTTTGGGGGAACACAGACTAAGACACTGTCTCAAAGTTCTTCCCAAGTTCACAGGAGCTTCACCTTCCAGCTCTGTTCACCTGTCAGTTCCATGCCCTGGGGTTGCATTCACAGGTCTTTGGGCTGGCTAACCAAGTCAGGGTGTACTCGATGGGTGTTGATAAACAAATAGTACAATTGATAGTTGCTGTGTTAACAGTAGCAGAAATACAGGCTGTTGAATCATCTGCAGATTCTCATGACTCATAAATTGTATACTTAGCAGTCACTCTTCAGAAGGAGGCCCAAGCCCCTCAGTCAGATCTGTGAAGGATGCCAGCTTTTTAAAAGCCTGGCATTATGTGTATTTTTCAGGGCATCACTATGAAAAGCACCTGTCAGTTCTGAGATGGAGATAAATTTCCTTTTGTCCTGGTAAAGCAAGATTAACCTTCAGCAAATATTTACATTTGAGGAGTGGAGTTTCAGCAGTGGTGGCATCAGCATTTGTCAAGCTGCAGTGCAAACTGCAATGAAAAAAAAAAGAAAAAAATACGTGAGAAACAATTAAATTCTTCTCACATTGAAGCTAAATAATAGAGACAGATCCTTTGGGGTAAAAAAAAATAAATAAATCGATCAAACTTTATCCTAAATAATATAGCTATTTCATGCGTTTCATCCCACTCATTGTTTGTGTATTAATTTTTGCCTTAATATAAAAAACAGTTTTATTGAAGGATAATTAATATATAATAAGTTGCACACATTTAAAGTACACAACTTAATAAATTTTGACATATGTATGCACCCATGAAACCATAGTGCTGACTTATTTTTAAAAGCAATACTATTGAGTTTTCAGTCTATATTATTTCAATATCCAATTTCAGGAGTGATCCATTAATTATCATATTTATGCTATGATTCATTATTGGCTAAAAGCTCTTTACATTACTCCCTATCCAAAATGGCTAAATGAGTATGCTCAAAATAATTGGTTGGCCCAGTTCTTCAAGAACTTATGAGGCATGTCTGGCAAATAATAATAAAAGTTACCACTTATTGAGTATCTATCATAGCCACGGTCTAATTTGCAGTTCTTTATATCATTTGTAATGTTCACAACAATCCTATGAGGTACGTATTGTTACTCCTATATCACAAGTGAGCAACTAAGACTTCGAGATATCAAATGACGTGAAGACATTTACATAGCTAGAACATGACAGAGCTGGTAACTAGATTATTCCATATGGTAATATTTTCTAAACTGCTAATTTATTCATGTTTTATTTATTCAACAAATATACACCAGGTCCAGGTTAGATGTTAGAGCTACAGCAGTGAAGGCGGCTGACATGGTTCCAACATCATTAAGTTTACAGCCATCACTAAGTGTGCAATCACACAAATAATTGATTTCGATTGTTATGAATGCTTTCAGGAGAAGTACAAGGTATTGGAACAGCATGCATTTGGGGCCTGATCTAGTTTCAGGGCAGGCAGCTAGAGGAGGCATCCATGAGGAAGTAATGGTTAAGCTGAGACCTGACAAATAAGTGGGTCTAGAGTTTTAAGTAGGAGAAGTGACATGATCAGATTTGCAAGACTGACTATGGGAAAGTCACTGACATAGGAGGGAACATGGCGGCGGGCGG